TTTAGTAAATCTTGGTTTTGGTAAGTTCTCTCCTTTGTTCTAAGAGTCTCTTGGTCTGAGAAGAGATACGGCTTCTTTTACTTCTTCATTATAACTTCTAGACATAACCTGTCAAGTCCCATGAGCATGATAGCTTTCTACCTTGACATTCCTGATACAACCATTCTAGTGTGAAACCATCAAGTTTAGCACCAAGAGTACTAACCCCATTGGGCTCAGTGCCTCTTGATACCGTGTGTTCTCTCTGACTTGTCAACCTCTAGTATCGCTGGGTCCCTAACCTTTCTCTTTTGGCAGCCCAAAGGATCTTTTGAAAATGTAAATGTGATCATGACCCTTATGGAAACATACCATGGCTTCCTATGGCCTTTAGAATTAAGTCCAAAATCCTTAGTGTGTCTGTCCAGGCCCTCCATGATGTGACCTTATCTTCTATCCACTCTTGTCTCCCCCTCACCCCTTTTCTCTAGTCACACTTTTGAGATCCTCATTGGCCTCACACTCACCCAGCCCAGCTGTGTCATTGTCATGCTCCATGTGCCAACGTTTCCCTCTGGAGTCGTTGGAAGACTGGTGTTCTTTCAGGCATATGTGGTCTTTCCTCTGTCCTCCTCTCTGCTTCCATACTGTTTCTTTTTTTCCTTTGTTTTGTTTTGCTTTGCGTGTGTGTGTGTGTGTGTGTGTGTGTGTGTGTTAGTTTGTTTTTGAGGTTTTTTATTTATTTATTCATTTATTCATTTATTTATTTATTTATTTATTTATTTATTTATTTATTTGCTTTACCATGAAATGCTACAGCCTTCTCCATCCTGGGGAGTTTTCAGGATCTCATTCAGTGTGGAAGCTGAGAATTATGAGCAACAGAATACTGATGAAAGTAACAGTAGGGATGTGTTTTTCTCACAAAATAACCAATCCATGGGTAGGTGGATCCAATGTTGAGTTCAACTGCTCAGTGATAGCAGGGTAAGCTGCTAGCGACAAAGTGGCTGCAGCAACAGCTCCCAGCATCCAAGAGAGACAAAAAGTTCTGTCCTCGCTGTTGTGCTTTTTATCAGGGAGGAAAATAGTGTCTCAGAAATCAATTATGAGACCCTTGCGTGAACCCTTGGCCAGAACAGGCCAGACTGCAAGGGACATGGGTTCGTTTAGTAGCAAAGTGCTCCTGAAGGAGGTGCCTCAGCCCAGGAGGAGGAGGAGGATTAGCAGGACAAGGAGGAAGAGGAGGAGCAGGAAGAGGAGAGGGACAGGGCAGTTGGGAAGTGTGTGATAGTGAGCTTCCTGTTTCTGCTGTGAACACTAATGGCCCCATACATTTCTTCTTTGTGGACATGTGGAGGAAAGGTGTCCCGAGATTCAGGGATGACTGTTTTCAAATCTGTTTCCTTGTCTTGAAGTAATCTATCTAATGGGGCCCATATTATACACATGTACCTTTATAAAAAAAGAAAATCTACGTGTTTATTGATGTCAGAGGGAGGAAGGGAAACAGAAGGGAGAGAAAGGAGGGTGGGGGGAGAGAGTAACACCAATGATGAGAGAGCCTCATTGATCACATAGCCCCTAGACAGCAACCCAGGGATGTGCCCTGACTGGGAATGAAACTGGGACTTCCTGGTTCAGGGTTTGACGCTCAAGCATTGAGCCACAGCAGCATGGCCACCCATATAACGTTCTAAGTTTAAACTTTCATTAATTCAAATTAAGTAAAGGTTAAAATTCACTTAGACACTTAGGTTTCTCTTGAGCAGTGTTAGCTTTGTGTGTAGACCAGCCGGTTTCCGTGGAAAGCAAGTAGAAACTGAAAGAAAGGAAATGTGTCTATCGTCAGAGCAAGAGTGTTCACGTGAGAACGATGAGCTTTGGATGATTGGGCAATGGCACTGTGTGGATCCCTCTTGCACAGCATGCCTCCTTTGGAAATACTCACCCACTACTTCTTTTTCCTTTTCTGCTTAGAAGTTTTTGACATAATGGTTTTAATTTTAATTATAGATTGTTCCAGTGGTGACAGTGAAGTGTGGCCTTTCTGGTAGAACCAGGGCTGTGTACCCTGTTTCCGTACCGTCCTGAGCTGGTGGAACCATTGCCTCTTGCTAAGAGGAGTTTGACTGGTGAGTAAAATTCGGGGCTCATTGGGGAAGGAAAATGTTTAACAAAGTGTTGAGTGGAGAGAGTTGTTTTGAATTATTCCTGTGGCAACCAAAGCAATGCTCTTTGCATCCCCAGTGGTTTTCAATATTGTTAACAGTTATCCTAGTGGTTGTTGCTGCTCAAATGGCAACTCAAGCTAGACAGAGTGAAGTGGAATGCAGCCCAGTAGGTAATTTTTGCTCTTAATGAGAGCATTTGAAGATATAAATTGGCACACGGGAAAGTTTGGAAAGATATGATTGAGTCTGGCCAGTGTTGCACAGTGGTTGAGGGTCCCCCTGTGAACCAGGCAGGCGTTCACGGTTGGTTTGATTCCAGGTCAGGGCACATGCCTGGGTTGCAGACTGGATCATCATTGGGTGTCGTGAAGGAGGCAGCCGAGGAATGATTCTCTCTCAGCATTTTTTTGATCTCTCCTTCGCTCTCCCTGAAATCAATCTAAGTATAGTTTTAAAATATCTATTTAGCCTAGCCCCGGCTGGTGGGGCTCATTTGGGTGGGCATCTCCCCTTGCACTGAAAGGTTTCCGGATCAGTTCCCAGAAGGGGGGCACTTGGCAGGGTTTTGCGGTCAGTTCCTTTCAGGGGTGGGCAGGAGGCAGCTGACCCGCCTTTCATCGATGTTTCTCTGCCTCTCCTTTCCTCTCTCTACTCTATATTTATATATTGGATATATGATCCTAGTGTAAAACCAGAAACTATATAAGTAAGAAAAGGAGAAGATACTGTTACTTCTAGTATAGTTTCAATTCCTCCAGTTCACTAGTGTTCACATTTTGATGCATACATTTCCAGATTTCATTTCTCCATTTCATCAATTTATACTTACCAGAAAAAATGAAATGTTTCAAACATTATTTTAAAACTGTAATATGCAGGGAGCATCCTTCCATTTCAACATATATGTGTATGTGTGTGTGTGTGTACATTTGTGTGTTTGTGTGTGTGTGTGTGTTAATCTATATATATGTTATATATATATTATGTATATGTACATGAATATATCAGGTCAACACATGTTTTCAATTCACAACTTTATTTCTATTTATTCAAGAAAGTACTTAATATAATGGATTAAAGTCTACATAAATAGCTAGGTACTATTGGACATTATCATTATTTACTATTATAAATATAGAGTTGGGGTTTATTCCTCTTAGTTATTAAAGATAATCGCCTAGAACTGTCATGACAGCAGCAGAGAAGGCTTCCAGCAGAGTCAGCACCTGTCTCCTTAATGGCCTCATGTACTGCCTCAGGCCAGGCCGCGCCATGGTAGTGCGAATGGCCGGACCAGGCTCTGGCTCCTGAGCAGCCCCTTCCTCTGGCTCTGGAGAGCTCCGGAGCTCTGGGTTTAGACCTGGAGTAAGAGAGAGAGGGGGAGAGAGAGGTAGGGAGAGAGAGAGAGGGAGAGAGAGATAGGGAGAGACAGAGAGAGAGAGACAGAGAGAGAGACAGAGAGAGACAGAGATATTTTCTCACACACCTGGCTTTCCCGTTACTTTCCACTGAAAGATGCCAGCGCCTTTAAGGGAAATCCAGCCCATACGCCTGCCCTCCCCAGGTTATGTGCCCAGGTTATCAGTCCCCCTCACCTTCCTGTGTTGCCTCGGTGGGCTCAGTATGCTCCAGCTCTAGATTTTGGGTTTGGCCCAACAGTTGTGATGCAGGGGACTTGATGGGCACCAAGGCCTGCTCTACCTCCAACAAGGCAAGTGGAAGGGGCTGCCCAAAACCCTGGACCTGGTCCAGCCAGGTCCCGACCATCGAAGCCATGGCCCTGGAGAGAGGCAGGTGGGCAGTCAAGTCAGAGTTCTGGTCTTTCCTTCTACTCTACCCTCCCATGGCACTCTTGTTTCGTACTGAGCCTCTGTGCAGTCCCTTTTCTATCCAGGGAAAAGCCCGATGCCAAACCCAGCCCCTAGGTGTCTGTTCTGTTTGTAGCAGGTGTGGGATCCAGCAGGTTTAACGTGGAGTCTGTGTGAGACTCTTCTTCCCACTGGCAGCTCTCCTGAATGTCCTGTACACTGCCCACCCCAGCCCTCCATGTCCCTGGGCATCTGGGCTGAGGATTGAGACAGACTCCTGAGCTGCCTGCTCACCACCATCCTGTTCTGAGCCGTCCACGGTGGTCAGTGGAGGTGGATGGAGAGAGGGGCAGGCAGAGGATTATGGGTCTTGGGGGGAAGGAGACTCTGAGGCACAACTCAGCCAGCGTCCTCTCTGGGACTACAAGACCAGGGACCCCATCCTCTGTCCTCTTTGACTCATGTCCTTCTGGAATAGAAGCCGGCAGAGTTCAGGCCTTTCATGGGAATCAGAAGGTGTATAAGATCAGGGTTCTGACAGGCAATTCCCCCAACTCACAGTTCCCACTCTGCTGACACAGGGGGGCCTCCTTCTGGACGCAGAGACCACTCACTTTATGACTTGGTCCTGCGGTGTGTCACCCTGGTCCATATGAGGAGGTGTGCCTGCACATGTCGAAAGCACCTTGGCGGCATCAGCTCTGATGGACGGTGGACAGGACCTGTGAATGATGGACAGCGTGACTGCGGGACCCACTGCCTAGAACTGAGGCCCAGGGGTTGTGTCTGCTTCATTCCTTGAGTCGGGCTAAGCGTCTCCAAACCTGCTTGCCTGCAGTAGGAGCTTCATACACATTGTTGAGTAAATAAACTCCAACCAGCACCATCCCATCCATCTGAGTGGGCTTGGGGCCCCTGCTACCCGCCCGAGACCCCCCATGTGGCTACACCAAGGCTGAGGACCAGCTAGGTGAAATCTCCAACTGACTGACAGGCTGCTTTCCCTATGTTTTTCCCAACTGTGGTGCCACAGGCCGCCGCTGGGTGAGTCAGAGTTCTTTCCAAGGGACAGAGTGAAATCATTGCCACAAACCACCGGCACACATCCGGCAACCCTGTCTGAAGAGCCAGGGAGCAGGTAGGACCTTCCTTGGCTTTTCTCCACAGCAGTGCTATGAGGCTTATCCCTCACCACCCCACCTTTCAGAGGAGCATACTGAGACTCAGAAAGATGTGGTGACATTTTCAAGACGCACAGCTTGCAGTGGGCAGATTCACAAGTGTGTGCTCACCTAGCTAACAGCTCCTCCAGGAACTGTTGGGCTCTGCAGAAGGCCAGAGTGGAGACCCGGGGGATGTTTCCCCCCAGGAGAGCTGGTACCATGGATGTGGCCACTTGCTCTAAGGTGCCTTCATGGAGGTCCTGCATCCAGCAGGACTCAGGTAGGTTACCAGTTACGTCAGTTGTGCACTGGGTGGGACAAGTGAGGACATCGAGTCAGCGGCGTGACCGAGAATCCCACAAGGATTGAGGACTGGAGCTCATTCGGGAGGTCCCAGCCACACAGGGACGTGTGCAAGAGGAGGGGCAGGAGCGCCCAGGCTGAGGGACGTTCTAGGTCTTCAAAGTGCCACTTAAGTTCTGTGCATGTTCATACAAATGTCACCTTCTAGGCATCTTCCCCCTCCTCCACCCACATGTTCTTTCTTAGCTAAAGAACAGCAAACCTTCCTGTAGGTATAGTCTATATGAAGAGCATGGGCTCGGTGAGTCCTCTAGAAACCTCCCCTTATAGACATAAGAACACTGAGGCTTAGGGATATCCAATGTCTGGTGAAGGGCATGCAAATCAGAACTGGGACCTGTCCTACATGACATTCCCTCTCAGGTAATGGACACTTATCTGTTCCTTACTTGAGGGGAAAGTGTGTTGGAGCCTTGTCCCTCCCCAGCGTGGGAACAGTGAACAGGGTAGACATGGCCTATGAAAACCATTGACTTCAAAGGAGAAAGTTATGTTTCATCCGTTTACACTAAAGGGCATTTTGAGACCCTCATTTTGGAGATCCCAGATTCTGCAAAGTGGCAAATGCATGAAGCCTGCAGACTGGAGAAAGGTGATCACCAGGCAGTAATCTGAGCAGAGGACTCGTGAAGGAGCAAATCTATGTGGGGCTGACAAGGGACTGGGGACTCAAATATCCATGAGGCAATTGCTAATGAAGGAACACTGTGATAGAGTTGGACAACCTGGCATCAGACAGGACAGGTGAAAATTTCAATGAGTGAGAAATCCCCGGGCCAGGCTGGGAGCAATCATCAGAAACTGCTTTTGGCTATGTCCCTGCTCCAACCCTTTGGATTTGTAATCTGCCTGCAGCCATTAAATGTTTACATGTGCACTTCCTTCTTCCAGGAGTGGGTGTCCATCTCCAGCTGAGAACGTTAGACATACTGTGGTCTGAACTGGCTCCTCTAATGCCATGAATTTGCAACCCCTAGAACTTCATTATGTGGCTGCATTTGAGTGTTTGTCTTCAAGCTTGCAATTAAGGTGAAGTGAACTCAGTGCTGTGGGTCTTAGTCTAGTCTGACCATTGTCCTTGGAAGAGGAGGGGAGGACACATGGCAGTGCAGAGGGGAGTCCATGTGACACACAGGGAGAAGACGGCCATCTACAAACTGAAGAGAGACCCCGCAGGAGAAACCAGCCCTGCTGACAGCCTCCTGTCTCACTCCTAGCCTCCGGAATAGTGAGAAAATGAATGTCTGCTGCTGACACCACCCAGAGTGGTCCTGTGTTAAGGCAGCCCGATCAGCCTAACACAGCGCATTCCAACACACTTCAGTGCTCTGGGCAGCACTGCTGATATGGCAGCCCAACTGAATTAGGCTCATGTCCAATAGTACCGAAGGTATGCATCGCTGGGAAAAGGATAATTGCTATTGGCCAAGTTCTCCAAGGATTGTGGACTGAGTGCCAGGGGTAGTTTAAACAACAACATCAGCGAAATGCCCACGTGTTGACTGAGTCTACTGTGAAGTCAAACCACATCTCTCTTTCTCTCTCATATTTCTACAAATATGTGAGGAGTGTCTTTCTACCCTCCCATGTAGCTGGAGGGGGAGTAGGGCGCAAATTTCTTTGTCATGGTGCTGTGGGAGAGACCAGGGAGAGTCCTGGGAGGGTCCTTGGGGAGTCTGCAGATCTGAGTGTGTGTCTGGGCTCTGCCAGGTCCTCTTGGGGTTGTGCATGTGGAAACTCTCAAGGCTGGCTCTCACCTCTGACAGGCACTGGACTGTGTCGTCAGCCTGGTGCACCTGCACCCTGACCGCGTAGGCGGTGTAGTCGGGTCCTTGGGCCAGCACCTCAATGATGTCCTCCTGGGAGCTCTGCAAAGACAGAGTGGGTACTGCGACAGGAGGCCTCAGGAACCTCCCTCCCAGTCTGCGGCCCTGTGTCATGGCAGACCTCGTCTATCAGGACACAGGGAGGATGTTCCTGGCAGCCCTGCTGAGCTAGCAGCCGTTGATTTGTGTCAAGGTCTAGCAACAGGGAAAGCCTGAATCACTGATGAAAACTGTGCCCCTGTTGGGATGATATGGAGTTGGGTAAGGCCACAGCTCCTGACCTGGCCACACCGCAATGCTTTGTCATCCTCTGTGAGGTGATAGATTGCAAGTTAAATTATTCAAGATTCCAATCCTTCCCTTACCCACAACCCTCTATTTTTAAAATACACAGCACTATCAAGTGGGAGGATGTTTAAGGCCTGGGAAAGGTCGACAAGGACAGTGGAGCCGGGACCAGTCCACAGGTTACTTGGGGCAGGGAGTTAATCAATTGAAAGGCACATAAGGCAAAAACAGCAACAATTGCCTCCTCTATGATCCCAACAAACACATGAAGAAAGATTGCTTTTCTACCCTCCCATTAATCTGGTTGGGTGGATTGAAGGTATAGGTTTCTTTGGGAGTGGGTCTGTGAGATCTTGGAGGCCCCTGGTTTGAGTCAGACTTCTGGTACCACCCCAGCCACCACAGGATCCTGGGTGTGGGCCAGCCCTCACCTCCGTTTGGCCCTGGACTGTTTTCCCGGCCTGACGCACTTGTCCTTTGTACCCGTTGATGGCATAGGTGAACCCGTCTGCCAGCTCCTCTATGCCGTCCTCATTGGAGCTCTGCAAAGACAGAGCCCACTACCAGAACAGGAGGCACCGGACCAGTGCCAGCTGGACAGAAGCCCGCCACCCGCTCTGCTCCCCAGATCAGGCAGAGAGGGGCATCTGCAAAGTTCTCCAGGCAGGGAGTGAAGTTGAAGACCCCTTGAATATACACACCTCCCCTCCACCAACCTCATACACCATCTTAACAAGCAGGTAGCAGATCTCCAAACACAGCATTCACATGACACACCCTCCAGGCTTCTGACACCAACCCACCTGCTCCTGCACAGGATGTGAGTCCCTCATGCATGCTGTCCCTCACCATCCCCGACACACACACACACACACACACACACACACACACACACACGATGAGGGGTAAGAGGTGTGGAGTTCCCCTTGTGTGACCCCAGCTGGTGCCTGGCCTGGATGGATCTGGCCCCGGCTGCCCTCAGTTACCTGTGGGTGCCTCCTGCCAGAGGGCCTGGGGTATCTGTGGTGGCGCTTGCGCCTGTTTCTACACCAAGAGAAACATCTCTCAGCCTGGGCTTTCTTCTGCCCTGAGCCTCGGAAGAATGGGAAGCAACACAGAGACATCTTGTCTCCTGACCCTCTCCACTCAAGTGAGCTGCAAAGGCAGTTGCCTCCAGAATGTGGGTACCTGGTTACCATGGTTCCAGTTTCTCTCAGCAAGGAAGTGAGGTCACCCCTTCAAGGTTCCACGACCTGTGCCCCTTCCTCCAATCAGAGTCACCCAAAGGCCCCGTGGGCTGTTGACATCTCACCCTCTGGGCCCATGTTACCTCCACACCTGTACACCAATCAGTACCCTGTATCCAACACAGCCGTCTCCCCAGCTCTCTGGGAATGTGTGAGGGACCCCGGCTTGGCAGAGAAAGCTGCGTTCACACCTCCTTTTCCTTACTTGTTCTGTGCCCTGAGGAAGCCTCTGTGCCCCTCAGGGCATCCCTCAGTCTGCAGAGCTGCCCAATGTGGATAATGCTAGACACTATTTCCATAGGAATTCATCAGGTGTAGATGAGACAAGGCCCCTAACACATGTGGGCTGGTGTCCCATCAATCTGATGAACAAACATAGAGGTGGAAGCGTGACAAGAATAAGTGGGACTCAGCATGGGACACTGGACAAAACAGGCCTGAGGAATGGTGTGAATATACATCATATCAGTTCACTGTAGATATAAGAATGACTCAGATGGTCAGTTTTGTGTGACTTGTTCTTCACTTCAATTGCTTTTATTGATACTGATAGTCTGGTACTGCCTAGAAGCTGAGTCATAGCTACACACATCTGGCAGGCCATGTCCTGGACATCCTGGGGCTGGAGCTCAGTCAGCAGGTTCTCACCTATTGCCGCCAAGGGCAAGGGAACCTCTCTGTGGGTCCCCAGGGCCCTGGGCTGGGCTGCATGAGCCTGGACCTGCACCTGTGCACAGGGCAGAGGGTGGATGTCCATGAAAGGCCTGGTCAGGAACGGCTAGTTTGGGTTTTAGAGTGGGATTTGGAAGAAACGCAGACCCTGTACCCAAAGCTGCAGGACTCCTGCCCCAAGAATCATAGATGCAGCCCCAGCTCTCAGGACAACGCACCTCCTCCCTGGTGGTTCCATGGTTAGTGACGCTGGGCTCCCAGCTGAGGCCTTTGCGGAAAAGCCCAGTAAGTGCTTCCTGTCCTGGGAGCCTGCTCCACTTGCTGACCTACAAGAACTTGGGTCAGGGAATGGTCAGGCTGTGGGACAGAGAATCCCCGTCAGACCATTGAAATGACAATTCAGCTGCCACTTCTCTCCAGTTGCTTAGTTCATGGGCACCTGGTGCCCACACTTTCCTCACACATACACTGTCACTCAACCCCAAATTGTGGCTCCAGGAAAGAGATCCTGGCACCCACCCCACTTATCCTGATCCCCTCCAGCCCCATCCAGGAACACATCTGAAGACAGCAGGAGAGCGCATGTCCATGGTGGTGTCAGTAATACATTGACGGGTCCCTCACGTGGAGTGCAGCACCCATTCTGCTGGAGTTACTGGCCCTCTGCTCTGGGGGCTGTGCAGCAGCAAGTGGCTGTGCTAGGGTTGCCCCTGAAGCTCCCTGTGGCCTCTCAGAGCTGAGGACGTCTGCAGCCACAGACACAAGAAACCTACCCCTCAGGCCCATACCTGCAGGAGACTGAATTCTGCCCACAACTGGGGTGAGATTTCCTCCTAGACACTCAGGGGAGACCACAGTCTCGGCCAAATCCCTGGTCTCGAGTCCAGAATCAGAGGGACTGCTTACACCATGCCCTGTTCCTGACTGCAGAGCTGTCAGATCATTAATGTGTAATCTCACTAGGCCCGTGGGGATATTACTCCACAGCAGGAAATGACTAAGTGGAGTCCTTTATGAAATTAGATCCCATCCACCTTGTGGTATCAGCAGAGGTGGAGGTGGAGGAGAGATTAAAAACTATCAAAATAAAACTGGGTCTTAGAGACTGAGTTATATAGTCACAGGGGGCTTAGAGCCCAGAATTTTATACAAATCTGGGATCTTATCATCTTCTTTCTGACTGCCCAATTGTATCTCTCTCTGAGTTTCCCATTTATATCTTAGATTTATATAATGTGCTTATGCCCATTTTAAAGTTAGATTTTTGTGTGTGTTCCAATTTTAGACTTCAGATTGTCTTCCCAATTTTTGAAGGTTCTTTTGATAACAGAAATGGTAACCTTCTATTGTGTACATATTGCAAATATTCGCTGCCAATGTAACTGTTAGTCTTAGGTTTTAAATGTGCTTACAGTGGCTGCCAGGCCTATGTTACTGTCCCACATACAGAGGAAAGGTGGAGTCACAGAAGACCGGAGGACCCAGACTCACCTTTCCCTCCCTTTGGAGGGAACTGGGCTGTTTCAGCACATTGACAATTACTAATCCCATAGCAAATTCCTGAAGAACCTTCTCAGCAGAGAGTGGTGCAAACATCTCTCCAATGTCTCCTCAGTGCAGATGGTGTGGCTCATTGTTTGAGTTTTGACCCATGAGCCAGGAGGTCATAGTTCAATTCAGGGTCAGGGCACATGCTTAATTCCCATTGGGGGTAGTGCAGAAGGCAATTGATCAATGGTCCTCTCTCATTGTTGTTTCTCTTTCACTCTCACTCTTCCTCTCTCTTCCTCTCTCTGAAATCAATTTTTAAAATCACTTTTCTATATGTCATGTTCTTCCCTAGCATGAGACTGTACATGTTGCTTTCACATACTCTCTAATGGAACGGAAAATCAACAGTCAAAGCCCTCTCCCCACAAGTTATTGAAATGCCAACAGAACATACATTCTGAAAACCTAAGGTATCTAGACCCTAAAGACTGAATTTCTACAAAGTTACCCACTTGGAAGGAATATATCGCCAACTTACTTTGTTGTATTAGGAATTCCACTGCCATCAAATGGTTCAGAAACAGCCACAACTTAATTCTCCTCTTTCAGGGCTAAGTAGGAAATAAAAACCTACATGAGATAGTCTGAAGCAGTCCAGTTTATATGCACAGACAGGTCATATTAAAGCTGTGGTAGGCAAACTGCAGCTCTTTGGCCACTTGAGTGTGACTCTTCCACAAAATACCATGGCCTGGGCAAGTCTATTTTGAAGAAGTGTTATTAGAAGAATTTAAAGTTTAAAAATTTTACTCTCAAAAGAAATTTTAATCGTTGTACTATTGATATTTGGCTCTGTGGACTAATAAATTTGAAGACTACTGTCTTAAAGGGACAATGTTAGTGCTCACTGGAGACTAAAGCACTCCTCACGAGAAATAAACGGAAGCACAACAGAGTTCCAGTTTACTTGCAAAGCTCATGGTGATGTGCAAACCGCATGCAGTTAAATTGTTCCTGAAAATCCCTGCACCTGACTGATGAGGTGGCAGCTGTTGCTCGACTCCCCTGAGTGACACATGTGATGGGATGAGCTCAACTCCCACCCACAGTACCTGAGCTCAGGAAGCCTGAGTCTCTGACAGAGAAACAGAGAAAGGAGCAAGTGTAACCATTCAAGGATCTTTCCTGCTCAGAACTTTGTCCCAATGTCAACTGACAGAGGCCACTGGGGCCCACTCAGGGTTCCTGCTCCCCTCCTGTCCTGCGTACACTGCACAGACAGTTTAATCTGCCTTAGAGAAATGAAAGGACAGTGTATGACCATCCATGTAAGAACAGTGGGCTCTCCGGGTTGCCATGAGGCCCACATTATATACCACACCTTTCAGGCTATTAGACTACTATCACAGACCCACACCCACACCCACTGGCTCAATGCTTTACATTATGTTAAATTAATCCCAATTCTGGTGTCCCTTTAAAAAAATCACCACTCACTCAGGCTGGTTGCTTAATGGTTAGAACATCAGTCCGCAGACCAAGGTATTATGGGTGTGATTATGTTCAGGGTTGCAGGTTCCCTGGCCCCAGTAA